ACAGGCAAGTCTTGCAAGCTGATGTTGCCACATGGAAAATGGTCCACACCACTCCTGCATTAGTGCTCCTCAGCTCTCCTTGTGGAGCCTTCCTGCTGAGAAATGTGAACTTGCAGATAAAAATACACCCTTGGCATCTTTCTGAGTGACCACGACACGGAAGGCAAAGCTTGAGATGAAAGGATTGTATCCTTAATGGAAATTAGCTGCCTCGCCCTGAAGTGCCCAACACCCAGCAAAGTCAAAGGCTCTGTGTTTCAAATTATCTAGTCCCTTTAGAAAGCCTACCACTGCATCAAACAGTTTATTCTGCTAAATTGATTGAAAAATGGAAGCGTTCAAGAGGCTGAAAAATACACTGTTGACAAGTCATGCAGGAGACAGGCAGCAGACTGGAGAGGTTTTGTTGTCAGCACTGAAGAGAGACCTTGTCACTCTCTACCACTACCTGAGAAGAGGTGGGGATTGGTCTCTTTTCCCAAGGAATAAGTGATAGGAACAGAGGAAAAGGCCTCAAGTTGTGCTAGGGGAAGGTTTAGATGGACACAGTTGCCCAGGGAAGTGGTGGAGTCACCATCCCTGGAGGGATTTAGAAAGACATGTGGGTGTGGTGCTCAGGGGCATGGATTAGTGGTGGACTTGGCAGTGTTGGTGTTTGGTGTCCATGATCTTTAAAGGTCTTTTTCAGCCTAAATGATTTTGTGAAAGACAAAAAAAAAAAAAGAAAAAAAAAAAGAAAAACAAAAAGAGGAAAATCCACTGCTAAAGGTCTTTGCAACAGGTACCATCCAGTGTATTCAAACCCAGTCAGAGAATTATTCTTAGCCCTATAGTAATCATCATATGTTAAGTTAGATGGCTGTCTCTCTACTGCTGGAAATACAGCATGAAGGTCAGCCATGCCTGATCTTTCCTAGGGCTGGCAGGAGTCCTAATGCAAGTGGGAGTTTGGACTAGATGACTTCCAGAGTTCCCTACCAACCAACATTTCTGTGATAGCATGATCTCACACCTATATTGTAATTAAAGGGATCACGTTAATTAAAAACAAAAAGAGAATCTTTGGGGTGTGCAGAACTCATTAAGGGTATTCATATATAGAGTTTGGAAGAAGAGGCTTTCAGTCATGCTGATTCTTTGTCTGTGTACGCCACATTTATATCTGACTACCACAGCTATATCTTACTGTGGTTTACAGTGGGGGATCTTTTGCTAGAAGAGGACAGCAGTATTTTCTAGTTTTTCTTCTGCCCATAATTATTTTGCACAAGTAGGTATTTATTGATGAGGACAATCTGCCCCCTTGTCTGGGGGTGAGACCCACCAGGGGGGTTGGCACATCCTGGTTGTTGTGATGGGGGGGCCCCTCAGGCCCCCAGCACAGGATCTGTTGGAGAGTCCAGAGCAGGGACACCAGGATGGTCAGAGGATGGAGCAGCTCTGCTGGGAGGAAAGGCTGAGAAAATCAGGGTTGTTCAGCCTGAAGAAAAAAAAGGCTCCAGGGGACCTTTCAGTTCTCAAAGGGGGTCTATAAGGAAGAGGGGGACAAACTCCTCAGCAGGACCTGTTGTGGCAGGACAAGGGGTCGTGGTTTAAAATAAAGAAGGGTCAACTGACAGTAGATAAAAGGAGAACGTTTTTTGCAATGAGGGTGGTGAAACGGGTTGCCCAGAGAGGTGGTGGATGCCCCATCACTAGAAACATTCAAGGTCAGGCTGACCAGGGCTCTGAGCAACCTGATCTGTTGAAGATGTCCCTGCTCATTGCAGGGGGTTGGGCTGGATGGCCTTTAAAGGTCACTTCCAACCCAAATGACTCTATGATTCTAGGACAAAGGCATCAAGAATTTGGCAGTGCAGGCTGTATGCAATACATGATGGATCCATGTCTTTTTTGTATTTTCTACTTGATTTTTTTTTTTTTTTTTAATGGAGAAAGATGCTTTCAGTTGTGACTTTTGGGAAGCTCAGGCCATGCACATAAAGGAAAGAGCTTTCCAAACACCAAGCAATGGCTTCATTTTGAGTACCCAAACTAAAGCAGGTTGGCTTTCAGATGGGAGACATTCAGCAGTGTCTGAGAGCCAGCCCTGAGTGTCTGGAGTTCAGTGCATCTCAGAAATAGGGGTATTTGGAATTGCAGGCTGTCTGGGAAAGCCTTGGTCTGCATGCAGTGCAATGACACTGAACTGGGGCACAATCTGGCTGTGTCCCCGGGGTCTGCTCTCACTGATGGCAGCGCTTGATATCACAAATAGCTCTTTAAAGGGGCATCCTGCCGAGTGATAACTGCCTGCTGGGTCACCTGCTTGCTGCAGAGTCCATCTTGATTTTTGCAGTGGAGTTGTACAGTTTTATAGTGGAAACCAGACCTGCCAGACCCTTAGAAAAACTAAGGGAAATGGAAAACACAGAGCAATCAAAGAGAGGTAAGGATGGATCGAGCTGGAGCTGGTGCTTCCTGTATTTGTGTCACCCAGACAGTAATAAAGCACAACAATCCAGGACCTATTGGCATGCACCCCTGTGGCCAGTTCTGGTTTCTCAGGGTGGACTTTATCGTGCCACGAGCACAATTAATTTTCACAAAGTTATTTTCATGGGAGGTTGTTACACATTAAATGATGGCATTGCCAGGCCTCCAGGCTTTCTGTAACAGTAGGAGAAATGGTGGGCTGGAGAAGACAGCTGGCTTTGCACGTGGTACATGTCAGTTTACTTAAGCAGGACCATTTTACTGCTGCTGGAGGAATGCAGCAAAAGGTCAGTGCTGAAACTCCACTAAAGCAAGCTGAGCACACATTCCAGGGTGAGCCAACATGTGCTCACTGCCTGCTTGATCAAAAAGGGAATTTCAGGGCTCTGCCACATGCTTGCCTTGACCCTGCTCCATCCCGCCTGTCCAGTGAGCATCAGGCAAACTGCTCTCTAATCCTGCATGGGATACACACTGTGGTCAGAGGATGCTTGGAATGCTTGCATTTCATCATGGGCAGCGGGATCTTTAACTGGGCCCGTGCCTGTGGAGTAGCACAGGGCAGTGTGGGGAGGGATGGCAAGGGAAGTGTGACATGAATGCATAAAATCTATGGGTTTATTTCTTAGTCCTGTGTGCCCATCACAACCTGACCCTGTCCAAATGAGACTCACCTTTGCAGGGGAAGAATAAACTCAACGACATTATTCAGCTCTTGCATTTTCTTCGCCTGTATTCCTCAGATGTTTAATCTTCTGGAGTCTGTCAGATCTGGGCAGTGTCAGAGGGAGAATTCTGTACTAACAACATGCACAAGAAGCTGCACCAGCTTAACTGGGCTGTTAAAAAATGGCAGAAGTACAGGTCTTGTAGCTGCAAGAGCCTTAGGCTGATTTAGAACATGTCCTCATAACAACACTCGATAAAAATAAGACTTGGGCTTTTTAATAGAACGAATTACTTGGGTTTTATATTTAACCACAGTCACTGTTAAAGCTATAACTGGTTTTCTGAATATTTTAGGAATCTGATCTTGATCTTCCACATGTTAAAAACCATCACAACAAATACCTTGTGCCGTGGTTCCCGATGAAGAAATATCAAGGCCCTTTCTGGAAATGGAACTTGCAGGCTTTAAAATATTATGCAATGATCAGAGCAATCAATATTAAAACTGGTTGGTTGAAAATCTCTGGGCTGTGCTTTGGGGGGAAGCTACAGTGGGTTTCAGTGTGTTGTATGGTGATGGATTAGCAGCAAACCAGCCATTCACTTCAGAGCTGGACTCGATGATCCTTGTGGGTCCCTTCCAACCCAGAATATTCTGTGAGCTAGAATCATGCACACATATAAAAAAGTGGGAGTTAAAAAGATCAAGTTAAAGAATAAGGTCTTTTCTGGCAGAAACCCAACCTGCTTTTTTAATACTGCTTTTTTACTCTGGGTACTCTGAGTGATGCCCACATGGCAGAAAATCACAACGAATAATAATCTGGGGAGTTGGAAACAGCGTGCTGCAGGAGTGGAGTAGGCATTTGAGGAAGAATCCACAACCAGCACCAGGTTAGTTTAATTTCCCTGACTCCACAAGTTGGCAGCTGGGAACAATCAATTGTAGGAAAGGCTGATCCAAAGAGGGTAGGGCTGGCATCCAGCCCTGGCAAGGTGGAGGGACGGGTTGACAGGGCTCTCATGCAGTCTGCCATTAACAAATGCAAAGCCTTAGCCCTGGGAATACATTATTCCTGCCAATAGCCCAGGTCTCATAGAACGAACAGAGTTCAGTTCCACTTTTCTAATGCCATATTTTACCTCTTTCCACATTACTTTTCATAATTTCTTTACTAATCCTGTTACACCACTGAGATAGAGGCTGCCTCATCTCCTTCATCTCACATCAAAAAGAGGTTCACTAACTGCTTGTTTTACACCCTCTTCTCCTTAATGCTCCTCCTACCTCCTACATGTGCCTTTCTTTCCTTAGGTCAGGCCAGTTCATCAATCTGCAGCGTGAGGTGATCTTTAAGGCACCTTCTAACCAAGGCCATGTGAAACACAGACCTTGTCAGGGAAGGGGGCAGAGTCCTGGGAGTGTTTCAGCTCCCTCTGAAAAGCACAACTAGCAGGGAATGAGCTGTGTGAGTTCCTGGGCTCCGTGACTGCCAGCATATTACCACCTGCTCCTCTCCCAGCAGCACAGCAAGGGGAATGGGAAAAGGGTGGGAGAAGAGGACAGGAGGAGATTTCAAAAACAGGATCCTTTCCACAGAAATTAGACTACAAGCCACAGCTGCTGTCAAAAAATGAATTGCAAGCTTTAAACCTTCAAGTGTTGCCCACCATGCAGGGAAAAAAAAAAAAAAAAAAAAAACTTGGAAAAAAATAGGGAAAAGCTCAGATGACTGCAAAAAAGGTTTCAGAATTCCCCTTCAAAACATGAGGAAGGATCCAGACCAACAGATGAAGAACTGATAGGCAAAGAAAGTCCTCAACTGAGCTAATGATACACAACACAAGGAATTTAGCTGGAAAATGGCAGAAATTGCCTTTAGTCATCTGTACTGGATTACATCATTTAATCTGAATAGTTTCCACAGCCAGGAATCACCACAAGATCTCATGAACAAAATCTCATCACCAACAGCAATAAAACCCAGTGTTTTTTACTTTCCTATTCATTATGTTACTTAAAAGTGGCATTTAGCACCCCAGTTCCTGCTGTAACGAGAAAACCATCCACGTGACCGAGCTAAACCCAAATTAAACATGCATCATGTCATTCCCCTCTCCGAACAAATAACACCAGGCAGGTCCCTGTGGGGGCTGGGGGCTGTCACTTCTGCTTTTTCCAGCTCAGCCTTTTACCCTTGGGCTGCCTGTCCCTGCGGAGTGGGAACAGCTGAGGGGGTGATGAGAGAAGCAGCGTGGGCTGGTGGGCACAGCAGCAGTTGGGAAGCCACAGGTTCTCCGTGGAGTCACCACTGTGTCTTCTGACAGTCATTCCAGCTCCTGTGAGACACGGAGAGACAGCCACGGCCACCTCAGGAGGCAAAGATGGGGGTGTTTGACTGGATCTGTGCTTGACAGTCCCTCTTCAGAAAGTAAATTTAGAATGAATAAGCAGTAAACCAAGATTTTTTTTTTTTCCCCAAGGAAGCTAGAATCTCCCTAGTCCTAAACCTTCCACAGTTTCCTTTGGGAGTAGATCCTTTCTCCCACTTCCCCTCCAAAAAAAGAAAATAGCTGGAAGCTGTTCTGTGATTTGTGCCTGCCTGTAGTGTGTGAAATCTCAGGGGAAGACAAAAAATCCGCCTCTCTTTTGGATAATGGGAAGAGAAATAACAAATTCATTGTGCTGCACCCCTTTTTGTCACCCTCCTGCTACCAGGGCCCAGATCTGGTGCTGACTGATCACCTATGCTGTGGCCCTATCCAAATTAGTCTTGATGCCAACACCACATTCCTGAGGGTTAACCAGTTTCATGGCTATTGGTGGGTCCTTGGGTGTCAGGACAGCCCAGCCCTGCAACCTTGGCTGTATTTGATGCTCTCAGTCCCATGGTGTGACTCTTGGGGATGGTCCTGTGCAGGGCTGAGGGCTGGACTCGATGATCCTTGCAGGTCCCTTCCAACTCAGCACATTCTGTGATTATTTTTTTCTGCTGCTTCCATCCTGTGATCCATATTTCATTCATAATAGTCCCACTGTCTGTGTTACAAATCTCTACATGCTGGCCAATAAACCCCACTAGCCTAAAGGTGGTCTGATGGGGCCCCGTGGCCATTCTTGGGCTTGCAGAGTTTCATGCAGCTTGTCCAGAGTCTGCAACACTTGCCCTGCCACAACAGGCAGATTTGCCACCTGGAAATCTCCTTTCTCCTCGGTCCACCACCAGCCTGGGGCTTCACAGGCGAGGGGAACGATTTCAGTCTGCCCTTCTGAATGAGGGATTGCCCTTTCCAGGCCTTAAAATAGGGAGAGAGACTTTCAGGAGATTTGAAAATGGAGCTTGGGACCCTCAGTCATCACGCATTTTTTTGAAAGACGTGCTCTGCATCTGTGTCGTGTTACTGCTCAGCTACAGGACTTTTCTTAGACTCTCTGAAAGTGGATCCTTGCTGCTGTGTTCCAAAGGAGATTATTTTAATATTGTACTAAAATACTTACAATGAAAACTTGCTGCTTGAATTAGGCAGTAAGCACTGTCATCCTGGGTCTTAAGATTTCCAGGAAGCGGAGGTTGATGGCCGAGGTAAATTTTTACCATTGTTGAGGTTTTGGAGAGTTTCTTTCACTGCAGATGCCATGGGTGTCTCCCTTGATGCCCTCCATGAAGGCACATAAATCCAGGACAACGTGCTGTCTGAAAATCAAAAGATAACAGAGTATTTTCTGGAAACAGCCACTTCATGGGCCAAGAGCACAAGTTTGAGAATGAGACATCTCCTGGAGGAAACAAGGCTTGCCTGGTTGAATGAGAAGCTCCAGGATTTGCACTGCAATTCATCTTCATATGCCAATACACAGAAACTCAGCAAACTGCTGGCCACAGATCTGACTCCAGGATGGCTCCAGACTCGTTTCAGCTCCAATGCAGAATTGCTGAGCAGCACAAGACTGCGGTATTCACTTTATCTCCCAGCTGCACACCACTTGGTCTCAGGCCAGATACCAAGACTCCTCCTCTTATAAGGGCCAGGTGTCCCAGTGAAATCACAATTTTTAGCTGTTTGGTTTGGTTTTCAGGTCTGGGCAGGAGAAGTCCTGATTCTTGCAAGTGTTCTGGCCATCCTTTCCATACAGAATGCTGCCACATCTGCTTGCTCAGCAGAAAACCACCAGAGCAACGCTGTCCCCTGCTCCACCACGGCCCTCAGCAGTCTCTTGGCAGCTGGGCCGACTAAAAACCAAAGCAATGCATCCCACAGACTTGCCAGAATTTATCCTCTTTTTTTTTTTTTTTTTTTTTGTGCTGCCATTTTGTGCTACACATGCATTTTGCATAGGTGAAAAAATCTTGAGATGAAGTAGGATGAGCAAAAGATTTGAAGGCTTTCCTTGTGAGCAAAAGGCAGAAAGAAGGTCTGATTGCTTTGGTCACAGCCCCAAGCCTGGCAGACTCCGGGGAGCGTTTGGGCAGTGCTCTCAGGCACGGGGTGGGATTGTTGGGGCTGTTCTGTGCAGGGCCAGGAGCTGGACTTGGATGATCCTCAGGGCTGCCATGGGCTCCCCTTCTTCACTCAGGGTTCTTGTGCTGAAGGGTTTGCAGTGGCTCAGGCCTCATATTACACTGCTCCTAATGTGAGACTGTCACGCTGGGTGTGCTCAGTTCAGTTACCCTTCCAGGTACTCTCCTCCTTAACATGCAGGCATCTCAAATGACACAGAAAAAGCAGGTTCTCTGCTGGGAAAAGCTGATAGTCATATTGGCAAAAATATTTGCACAAATCTCAGCTGTTTTCCTCCAACTAATACCTTAATAAGTCCTGTGAAACTAATTTAAAAAGACTAATCTGTCTAGCCCCAAAGAAGCTGGAACAGCATCAGGGCAGAATGAGGGGAAACAGGTGAGACGGATGGAAGGGGAGACAAATTAAGATGGCCATATGTTATTAAAAAAAAAAAAAAAGTGAGTATTTGGGCTTGGGGAAAGGAGAGAGTGAAACAAAAGGGAGCTGTGGCCATTTCCCCTTTTCCCTCTTCTTTAACACATTGCCTAATTCCTCATGGATCACTTAGGAAGAGATGCCCTGGGTTTGCTGGGTGTGTACAAAAAGAGCAGTGGCCCCTCGAGCCAATCACCCCCCAATCCTGGGATGCCTGGCGATCGTGCCACCAAGGAAGTGGCTGCAAACTTGTCATTGCTCACTGGTGAGGTCCACAGCTGTTTTTACACCTTCTCCTCTAAATAAGGAAGCTGTGAGGCTTCTGGCTAGCCGGCCAATTTGACTCCTTCACTTCCCACAGCCAATGAAATCCCACTGCTGCCTCCAGTCTTGGGTGACAGCGTTCATCAGAGCTCGGCCAGCCGGGGAGGGCGGCAGGTTAGTGTTACAGCCGTGGCAGCCTTACCTTTGGCAAGCTGTTGATGTCAGAGTGATGATGTGGGGAGGGACAGCCTCTGCACTATAAAGATGGCTCAATCAAATATAACCCAGGCTGCCCGCTGGGGAGCAGGAGCTACAAAACATGGTCCCCACCAGCTGGAGCCCTGCTGGCCTGTCTCTGCTCCCAACCCGACTGCTCTCAGGCTTTAGTTTCAGGTCAGCCATCTCTGTTTGCCTTCCAAAAATAAGCCTCTGCCGCCATGCTGAAGGGAGAAAAACAAGAAGGGCGGTATTTTTAGGGCCATTAGTGCTGACCACGTGCCCAGGAGGTGAACCGGATGGCCACTGCACCGAGACTGCTCATCACTATGCCCTGCGAAGCCGGCGCTCACCGCACGGTCCCTGCCTTCGTCCTCCTGGGCTTCCTGGCCGGGATTGCTTCCGCACACCCCGTTGTAAGCAGAACTAATGGCACGTGGCTGGAGAGAGGATGGCAGTCTCTGCTGTCCAGGTCCATTGCTGGGATGTCAGGGGAGAAGTCAGATGTGAACTGGGAGAGTGACTATTTGCTAGGAATCAAGAGGCAGCGGAGGCTTTACTGCAACGTGGGCATCGGGTTTCACCTTCAAATCCTCCCAGACGGAAGGATAAGCGGAGTTCACAATGAAAACCAATACAGTGAGTTGCATCCCCAACTGAAATAGATGTCACTTAATTGCTGTGAACTCTAGTAATTACCCTTCGCAGAAATGCAAATGTTATTACTTGGTGCTATTAACCTGTTGCCTTTTGAAAGTCTCTGGGATCAGTAAGCATCAGGACCCTTTGGGCTGAAATGTGGCACAAATGCTTGGACAAATTTAGGTGGGATTTTTTTTTTACTCTGCCTTGCTGCATGAATGAGGGAAAAAAAAAAAAAAAAAAAGAGAAACAGGTTGAAAACTGATTCTTCTGCTGCACTTTCTCACTCCTCACCTTCTCATTTGCCTTTCGAATCTGGGAGGTCGTCGCTCTGTTCCGAGTGCCAAAGCGTGGTTTTTGAACCTCAGCTGTTACTTTTGGGACTCTCGGTGTGTCCCACGGGAGGGGATTGCTGTTCCTGGTTTACTCCTTCTTGTGGGTGCTGTTCTGTAGCTGTAAGAATAAAGAAATAGTCATATGGATCTGAATTTCCTGCAGAGGGCAGTTGCTAAAATCTTTTGCAGCTAAGATGTCATGTGGGACTTCAGAATTGTAAGCCACGCTCCTCTAAAGCTGATAACAAACCCTCTGGAAGTATAGTGTCTTAGATAAGAATAATTTACTTATGAGACAGCCCAAGAGTCTGGCAGATCAAGAGTCAGACAGAGCAAAGGGATTATACAGTGTGTGACTGTGGTTCCAGAGTAACTGTTTTCAAATCCTATGGCATGTGGGAAAATGCAAGATCTTCTCTGTGTGCATCTAGACTAGGGAGATAACTCTAATAGAGAAAATATGACAAGTTCCTTAGGGTTTTAAAATAAATAAATAAATGATATCTGAACTGCCTTGGATTAGCTCCAGATTCTGTGATAACACTTCTGCTGAATGTCTTGTTCTTCAGGTCTCTTTGAGATCTCCACTGTAGAAAGAGGGGTTGTCAGCCTGCTCGGGGTGAAAAGTGCTCTCTTCATCGCCATGAACAGCAAGGGGAGGTTGTATGGAACGGTGAGTACCAGTGCAAATACTCTTTTTCAAGGTTTGAACAAAGACTGCAAAGGTTTTAGAGTGGTTACGTTTGGCTTAGTGTTCTGTTTGGTTTGGTTTGGGTTTGGTTTGGGTTTTTTCCACATGGAAACCTGTGATCACAAGCAGAGAAAACAGCCTCTCAGCTACAGGGAGGGTGCCCAGCCTGGTGTCATCAGTGTTATTTAGTGCTGTCAAAAGTCCAGGATTTTAAAGCTCCCCAATAAGACTGTACAGGGACCCCCCTGGGAAAATGAATGTATTCTGCAAATAGGACAGATTAATTAAGTGGCTTCTTCTAAGGTCTCAGTGCTGCAAACACATTCTGGTGGAACTGAGCCCTGCTGATTCCCTTTTGCATTGCACTGTGTGTAGGAGAGGTACAATTAGAGCTATTAGTAAAATAATGACCACGTGCTTCCCCCTCCCAAAAACAACCCCAGCATGGAGAATAAATAGGAACTCTACCCTACAAGGTCAGTGTATGTGGCTGGGGTTATTTTAATGATCAGCTTTGTGAGATCAGTTGCAAAGGTTGAGAAAATAATGGCTATTAAGAATGGAATGAAAATCAGACTGAAACAGCATCACCGTCACCCTCATTGGGATGATTTGCCATCAAAATGCAATTTAATTTCTGAGGTCTGAGCAAGACATCTCCAGGGCATTCAGCAGTAAAAGTGCTTGTTAGGAAGTGTGTTTGGAAGAGGCTGGCTCTGGGCAAGAGGCAAAAGCAGCCCACCTCAAAGTGATGAACAGCACTGATCCCTTCTGCCAGGGAACAGCAGAGTCCTCTCCTTTGGAACAGCTGTGATTTCCACAAAGTATTTCAGTTGCTTAATAAAATGCCAGTTGTTGTGAAGGACCCAGAGCCCCACAGACATTACTAACCTGACTGATTCCTTCTCACATCCATAAGGGACATTTTGAGGTTCCACCCCAGGAATATTCTTTCAGTCCTGTCTGACCACCAGCACCTAAAAAGTGCCACAAACCCAACTGTTTTGCTTGACTGAGTCTCCCTGAAGAAATGCAGGGTCTGGCTTCAGAACTCCCTCTGACTTTCCCCCTCAGCCCCCCAGTTTCCATCCAGTTTTGTTTATCTTCAAAGACACTTTTAAAAGCTGGAAGAGATGTTTGAATGGTTTTATCGCACAGGTGTCCAAATCTCACGTGCCAGACATTTGAAGGCAGAGATTTATTCTGCCTCTTTTAATTTCCTCTGCATTTCTCTCCTTCTTGCCCTTGCATCCCCCTCTCCCAGATAACTCTCTCTCCCTGAATTTACATGATGTAACGTGGAGAAAAACAGAACTGTTTTCCCAGCTTAGAACCCCCTGCATAGTTAAATATCACTAATGATTTATCTCAGGAAAGATTTATTGCTAATCAAATCTCTTATCTGAGCAAGCAGTTCCCCCTGGACACTGTAAAGAGAAATGAAGGGTTTTTGACCTCCAGCATGTAGTTTTTTTGTAAATGGCAGGACTTCTGGCAGAGGGGAGGTATTAAATAAAGCTGCGAAAAGGCGTGATGCTGGCAGAAATCTTTCCTCACAAATAAAATGAAGAAATCCATCATTTAGAATGAATGAACTGGATCTGCTGCAGGAAGTGCACAGTCCATTCTGTGGACAGGTGGCATCAGAGTTCATCTGACACCAAATTAGCACCGAGGAGGCAGATTTATTGTTGGATGCAGCCGCCGAGGCACCACCTGTTGCTCGCTGCAACGAGCCCCTCCTGTAAAAACCTGAGCGAGAAAAATGACCTGGGCTTCTGTGAAGCATTTATTGTGCTTGCTTTGTTCTCCCACCCCCCTCCCCTCACTGTTCTTCAGGCTGTCTTCCAGGATGAGTGTAAATTCAAGGAAACCTTGCTGCCCAATAACTACAATGCCTATGAGTCGAAGGCTTACCGTGGTGCTTACATAGCCCTCAGCAAACACGGCAGAGTGAAGAGAGGAAACAAGGTCTCTCCTGCCATGACAGTGACCCACTTCTTACCCCGAATATGAACACGAGAAGATTAAATCCCAGGGAAAAAAAACTGTTTCGTTTTGCACATGGGGAATAACCTCCCAGGTAAAGTAGTATTTATACTGGTCATTGGAAAAAAAAAATATCTATATATGTATGTGTATATTTGGATAAAGATATTTGTACTAGATTCATCACTTAGCATATGTAATATGATGCTGCTTCTCTTCTACTCTGTACGAATTTTACGTGGCTGTTTGCCTCCTTTGGTGCTGTACAGAGGAAAAAAAAGCAAGCTGGAGTGCAAAGGATTTGGAAGAAAAAAGTACACAGAAGAAGTATTTGGAATGGCTGTGGGCAACCATCTAATCAATCCTAGGTTATTTACTAAATAATATTATTTACCTCAGATAATACCCTTTCCTAGTGAGCTGTTTACATATTGTGGGCCAAATCACCAGACGATTTTGCTTCAGCAGAGCTTCAGGCAGTTCACTCCACCTGAATATCTGCCTGCACCTCCCCTTCCACAGGCTCTGTCCTGTCTTGGAAAGTCCTCAGCCTGCTTTGATCACTAAGGTGCCAATTCCACAACTGTTTCCACACAAGCAAAGCATTTACCCCCAGAGCCCCTCTGTCTCTGAAGGGATTCTCCAGAGTCTCCTCACATGGACTGGCTGGTAAAAATGAAGACCTACCATCAATTTCCCACAGGGAGGGCCACGGGATAGATCACAGATGGGTCCCAAATGCAAAACTTATTTGGAGCTGAGGATTTTGAATGGCATTTTGTGAGCTTGGTTTAGACTTACCTCAAATATAGATGTGCACATCTTTAATATAAATACTTGTATATATATAGACATGGGATGTGTGTGTATCTATGTAATTATATATTTTAATGAATCAATCATCCCACTCTCCCAAAGCCCAGGTGCCTTTATATGCATACACACAGAAAAGAACATAAATATTTAAAGGCACTGTGTTTCGTTTAGGCTGAACCTTGTTAACCTCAAAGAACCAGAACTGGCCTGCGGGATGCATTTTATAAAATGTAAGAAATCCATGGAAGCTTCCAGCAAAGGGCTATTTTAGAAAACTTCTCTGTTTTGAATTTTCTATTCCCTGCCTTAAATATATTCGGTTCCTCTCGATCACACCTCACGAGGTGTGGAGGACAGAGAAAGAAGGAGGCTCTGCCACCAAACCTTCCCAACTTAGGACAGAGGAATTTGCACCGTAATTCCGATTTCTGTCGCTTGCAAAGCATCAGTTTCAAGAAGAACACAGCGAGCTGTGTGAAATACTCCCCAAAGCTCTCCCAGAAGCCCTACAAACGGGGCATAACCTTTTTCCAGATCCCCGAGGGAGCTGCATTCCCTGTGCCTTTGGAAGAGTATTTTGAGATGCCCTGAGTCAATAGTCACTATAAATGTGGGTTGCCAGAAGCCTTGGGATTCCTGCAGCGGTGGCCTGCTCCTAAATTTGAAACTGGATTCAGTGCAGTGTCAGAGCAGGAGCATTTTCAGCATAGATGCTGCAGGAGGGGATATCTGAGTGCAAGATTATCTCCCATGGCCGGCCCAAACGGGGCTATGCCCAGCCTTGACATGCCGTTCTATTTGCAGGGGGTGTCTATTCGTGATGAATTTGAGCCTTCTGACACGCAGGAAAAACACTGTCAGGGTCAGATCCTCACTTGGAGTAAATCAGCCTGCTGAGACCATCAGTTTATAGGTGCAGGAGATTTGGCCCACAGAACACACCCACAAGGATGTACCTGCAGCCACCATTCCTATTGTTCTGTGAACAAGAGGCAGTTTTCCAGCATCTTTTGTGTGATTTATACTTGAATTTACTTGGTTGAAATGTAAGTGCTGATTTTAAACTGATCGCAGCTTAAATGAAGAGAAAAAGAAGAGGGGAATGCTGCTTACAGGACACAAATGGGATGCTTTGGAGGATGCTTTGGAAGGAGAGGAGTTACTCTTCATTTTCTGGTCTTGCAGTATGTAGGGAGAAGCCAAGCTGACACACTTTGTTCATCCACAACATGCACAGCAGTTTGCTTTGAAAAAATGTGCATTTCCAGTGAAAGATCAGGATGTTCTGAGAGGGGAGAGTGGGTCAGAGGAAAGTTTGGAGGCTGTCAGACAGTCACATAGGGTCCCTAGAGGCAGAGATAGGAAGACTGCAGCTGTGCTGAAATGCATAAGCTGGCAACCTGGTGTGTATCCTGGTGTTGTATTCCTAGCTGTCTTGGAAATGAAGTCTGAAGAAGGATGGAAGAGGACATGGACGGAGAAATGTGGTTCAAATTCTGACACACAAGTTTGTTTCTGATTACAGCTTAAATCAGTCTTCTTAGGATAGGATGAAGTCTGTTCCCTCTTAAACCAGTGCAGCCTAGAGGAATTCAGTGTTGCCAGTACTGACCAGCAGCAGGATAGCTGACACAAAAGGTGACAATCAGACTCACTGGCTCTGTCTTGCACACACTGGTCAAGGTGAGAACAAACCACAGACCAGGTCATGAGAAGTCAGGACGAGGAAATGGCCTCAAGCTGCACCAGGGGAGCTTCAGGTTGGACATGAGGAAGAATTTCTGCACTGAAAGGGAGGTCAGGCGTTGGAAGGGGCTGCCCAGGGAGGTGGTGGAGTCACCATCCCTGGAGCTGCTCAGGAAACTGGTGGACATGGTACTCAGTGCTCTGGTCCAGTTAACAGGGCAGGGATCGGTCAAAGGACGGACTCGATGATCTTGGAGGTCTTTTGCAACATGAATGATTCTGTGAGCTATAAATCTGTGCAGACACAGCCTGCTGGACTGAGATTGTTCTTAGGAACTGCAGGCCCTTACAGATGCAGTTTTGGTGGGCGTTTGGAAAGCCCCATCAGTCACTCTGCTGAGTTCCTCTTTACAGTACTGCATGTTTACCTTATTACACATCAGTGACAGCCAGATCAGCACTGAAGTCAAGGCTGCAATCAGAAAAGGTCTCCCAGTGCCAGGAATACTGACTAATATGATATGTCAGGAGGGATAGCTGTGGGAAGAAACCCCTCCAGCACAAACAGCACAGAACTGAAGCCCTGTGGAGTTTCAGACCAGTTGGGTAAATGCTTTGACAGAGGTGCTTCTGCAGTGAAGGCAAGTCTGCTTTCCAGAGAGGAGCTGAGGAATGCTTTGACACACTGCCAGCAGCCCAGGGGCTGCTCATGGCAGCAGGGTTCAAGAAGTGATGCAGCTGAGTTACGCCTGAGAACTGGCCTGATGCTGTTGTGCCTCCTGCTTGGTCAGCTGAATTCCACCTTCTTAGGCCATTGGCACGGAGAAGGGTCTGGAAAGTTCCTTTTTGCACACCTCAGGATAAATCTGTTAAACTGGCACAACCCAAACCATCTGAAAGCCTGATAATGTAGATGATAAGGGGGCTGTGGAGTGAATGTGAACATCACCTGGCAAACCCTTGCACAAAACCTTCTTCCAAAGAAAAGTGTCATGGATGGGTGACTACATAAAGAAAACACATCAAAACGAAGGGATTTCCCAAACCTGGGCCAAATTGGGCACTGCAAAGCACTTCTCATCTCAGTGTGCATTCGTGGGAGTCATGACATGGGCTATGTATGAGCTCTGAAAGCGCTGGCTGTGAGTGCCCCACACCAGCCTGTGATGTCCAGATTTTGCACGTGGGGTTCTCCTGTGGAGTTGGTGCCTGTTTTCAAGGTTTCTTCTTCCTTAGGCAAATCCCATAACAATTTTAGACCTAATCCACCCCCGTTAGAACTGAGTCATGTTCTTAAATAAATGTATTTTTCCCCAACCTGCAGAGACACAGACAACGCACACGGTGGAAAAGCAGAGTAATATTTGTATACCTCACTAACTACTTCAATTCCAAGGTTTTATTTTGCACAGTCAAATGGTGCCAAAGTTCTCAGATTACTTTCTTTTCACGAAAATATACCTCATATTCTGACTCCATATGGACTCACAAATGAGACTGTAAATTTGCAAGAAACATGAAACTGTCCAATCAGTTGTTTGTGAAATTGCTTCTATTTTTATATGTATGTGCTGCGCACAATAGTGTAATGTATTCCTGAAATAAAATTTTATACATTTTTGGTAGTGTTTGGACTCTCAATCCCTCTTAATATTTGGGTTTTTTTCCTTGATTACAGAGATTCTGTATTAACCACATTCAGGGCAAAGGGCAGCATCAGTGCCAGTGCTGGCACCCACCTCTCCACCAACTACTGAGCTGGCAGTTTTTCCAGGAGAGCAGCAGGTACTAGGGTTTCACGAAAAAATGTAGCCATGACTTTCCTCAATGGAAAAAAAATAGGCTGCCAATTCAGAAAGAGAGCCCAAAACAAAACAAAACAAAACAAAACAAAACATCAACCAACAAAAAAAAAACCAAACAAAAACCACAAACAAAGAAACATAAATCCAAAACCCCAAAACAACAGCTCCAAAACCACAACAAGCAAGAAACTTTCAGGGGAGTTATACAGGTATAGCAGAAAAGTGATAACTGGAAGCATCTTGATTTTCCACAGCTTTCACTCATTTCCTTTGTAGGTCAATAAAATTTATGGCGGGAAACATCAAATTTCATTTAATTTGACCTTAGTGGCCCTGACCAGCCTCACCTGGGACCTCCTGGATTGAGATACATCCTCATAGCTCTGGAGATGAAGATGTTTGCCTGGAAAGTGGCAATATTAGGGAGAGGCTAATGAGAATTTTTACCATTCTGTACAATTTTGGAGCTGGAGGAGAAAGAGCTTTTCCTCTGGGAAAAGGTTCCCACAGGGGTTCTGTAACTGCAGCCAGATTTGCCCCCCTCATCTCCTCCAGGATGAACAAACCCCACTCCAGCAGCCTCTTCTTGTCCATCCTATGACCAGTCTGGGCTTTCTCCTCCTCCTCCTTAAATCTCTCTTGCAAATGCACCTCAAAACTGGACGTGTTGTCAGAGGTGGCCTCCCAGAAGGGAAATAAACACTTCCTCCAAGCTCTTGGGTGTGGTTTTGCCAGTGCAACCCAAGATGTTTTGTTTAATGGCTGCATTGATAGTCTTCCTTCCTGAGGAGTAAGGAGTGCTCTTCATAAAGAGAGCCAGAAGGCAAGGAATGGCAGAGTGTGTGACACAGGGATTCCCCCTCCAGCCTCTCCAGGGAACAGCCAGACATTCATTTAAGGCAGAGCATGACAATGGGGTGAGGCAGTTGTCTGGATTGCATTAAGTGATTTGCAAACAAATTAAAATATTGTGAAACAGTCTGGTCCCCATGGAGCTTAGCAATGCCCAATCCCAACCCCACTGTTCCTGAGGAGAGCAGAGGATATTCAGTGCCTTTCCAGACATTTGGATCTAAAGACCTCTCAGACTTAAGAGTGCTGGTCACTATTTGACATCTAATTTAAGATACGCTTATAAAAGAAAATAAACAGCTCCAAATCTCTTCTGCATTAGTTTTTTTTTGTTGGTGTTTTTGTTTTTTGGGTTTTTTTACTCCTTGGAAAAATGACCCAACTGCAAGCTCTTGTGCTTCATGTTTGGAGTCACAGTGACTCAGCAGAAGTCAAGAGAACATTTGGATTCCTTGTCAGAACCTGAGAGTAAAGGAGGAAATAAGAATCTCTTCCAGCTGTTGGGTAACTGAGGAGGACACCGAAGCTCAGACAAACAGTGTGGGAATCTCCAGGTTTAATATATGTAATGCAAACTAGAATTGCAGTTCACTGCAAGTGGCCAATCCTGGCTGAGGAAATAGCTGTCACTGGGGGGGGGGGGAAAGAAAAAATCATAAAAACAAACAACCAAGTCTACAGCCACAAGCAGAGATTTCTTTTTTTTTTTTTTTCTTTTGTTTTTCCCCCTCTCCAGCCAAGCTTTGCATCCAG